TATTTTATTTTATTTTATTTTATTTTATTTTATTTTTTTTTAATTTTATTTTATTTTATTTTATTTCTTTTTTAAATGATTGTATTTTCTTTTGCATATATTATATTATTTATTTTTTATTTTATTTTATTTATTTTATTTTTTTATTCTAATTTATTTTATTTAATTTTATTTTAATCAGTTATAATATCGTTTATTCAAAGCTTGAAATAATATATAATCAGTATGCCAGATGCAGTTCCACATACATACAAATAGAAATAAGAACATGTAATTAAATGCATATACAGTGATGTGCGTCAAAATAGAGCTACGAAAAATTGTATATGATTAATTTCCTATACTGCAGTAATTTCAAGTTCTGGTAGTATTTTCTGACTCCCCAATGAATTTGTTATACAAAAAACTATCAAACAAATTTTTTACGTATAAATTAATTATATTCACGGTTGACAACAATAAATAGCGGTCTACAACATTCGTATTCAACACCAACAAAAAGCACTCAGATTACTTATGCTTTCCACTGATAAATTATTATTGTTTTATTATTTATTGAGATTTTCAAACGATAAGGTAAAAAATATACGTGCATATATCTACATACATTTGTATATTAATAAATAGGTTTAGTGCTGACCTAAGATTTAATTTATGATAAAAAATGATAAACGCCTATCTCAAGCTAATAAGCAATAAAATGTTGAAATTTAAAAACAAGAGCCTTGCGAAATGTCTTCCCATTTATCACCAAAAGCATATTCATATCTACATATATATATAATAACAAAAACTTTGACTAATAAAGCCTTAGGAAAATTAAGAAAAAATAATGCAAGTCCTCTTCGATTTTTAATTCAAAAAAATAGAAGAAAATTCTGTCAAAATCAATTCACTCTCTTTCATTTTTTCTCAGCTGACAGCCCAGGAACGGCTGTTGAGTTTTGATTTCAATAAACAGCTTTTGCCATCAAACAATATTGCCATATCTCAGTAATTTATAACCGCATAACATTTATTTATAAATCCGATCTCAAATATGTACGGAAGAAAAAGAGACTTTACCAGAATGACAAGCTGTGTTGATGTAACCTTATCAGACTCTATTTAAAAAAAAAAACAAAGAGTTATTTTTTATATTGATGCGCAAACGGATGATGCCTTTGATGATCTGCTGCCTGACAAGCATTACATTATATCTTTAAGCAGTAGGGTAGATGTCTCATGGTGAAAATCAGTAGGTTTACCGATATCAGTAGCTCTGTACGTTTTTTTATTTGTTGCTCGTTAGTAATCACATCGGTACAGCATAGGGAGCCGGTACTTCTTCGGCTATCTTGTAAAATCGTGTGTTGCGACGGTGAAGTAGTTCGAAATGTTGTAGAGAAAGGCGTTTACTTTCGATCGATATCATAGTAAGGTGTCAACATAGAT